CATTCCCACCAACAGTGTAAGAGGGTTCCCTTTTCTCCACACCCTCTCCAGCATTTATTGCTTGTAGACTTTTGGATAGCAGCCATCCTGACTGGTGTGTAATGGTACCTCATTGTGGTTTTGATTTGCATTTCTCTGATAATGAGTGATGTTGAGCATCTTTTCATGTGTTTTTTTGCCATCTCGTACAGATTTCTTTACTGGAGCTTTTTCATCATCTTCAGCAGCAGCAAGCTTTACTTTTTTCTGGGGAACCTTGCTACCACTTCCAGGGGCAGAACGCTTTCCAGATATACTTAGGACTTTCACATCCTCCTCCTCCTCCTCTTCTGACTCTGCATCTTCCTCCACAGCTACTGAGTGCTGTCCACTGCTATGCACAGGCCCTGAACCACACTTCAACCGTAAGACCACAGGTGGTGTAATTTCAAAGCCCCCAAGAGAAACTGTTGGCTGTACAGACATTTTCAAAGTTGCCAGTGTTACTTTAATTGGACTGCCTTCATAATTCATCACCTCTCCTTCAACAATGTGTAACTCATCCTTTGCTCCAGCCTCTAAACTGACCATTCTTAAAGATAATTGGTGCTCATTTTCATCATTATCCAGCTTGAAGTGATAATCTCTGTCAGCCTTTAGGTCACAACCGAAAAGATAGTTCTGGGGCCTCAAGGGGCTCATGTTCATGCCCATTGAATCCTCCATGGGTTGGCAGCACGCACTTATGTGGGAGAGAAGCCGAACGGAATTAAACGACTACTATTCGAATGAGCAGCCGCGCGGGACGGAATCACACCAGGGCCAGAAGCCTTCTATTAACCAACCTTGTCAGTCTCATTACCTGCCTCTTCCCTGGCTGCTTCTACATATAAAACTACTTGTAATTTCTCACTTGGTCTTGCTTTTTCTGTGACCACATGCCTTTGTGCAGACTGTATCCTTGCTGCCTCAAATGGTCTTTACCACTGGCCTTCCCTCTCTGCCTTGGTGTCTGCTGTCTAGTTTCTCCTTCAAAGTTGACCCTTGAACAGCATGGGTTTGGACTGGTTCCGGTGCAGTTATACACAGATATGTTTTCCAAATAGTAAATACTGAACACAGTCCCTGGTTGGTTGAATCTGAGGTTGTGGAACCCCTGATCTGAAGGAACCATGGATCTGCAGGACCAACTGTAAGTTATATGCAGATTCTTAACTGCAGGAAGGGTTGGTGCCTCTATACCTGCTCCCCTCTACCACTGTTTAAAGACCAACTATCTACTGTTGAAAAAAATCTGTGTATAAGTGGATACTCCCTGTTCATACCTATGTTGTTTGAGAGTCAGTTGTACTTGCATTTTAAGGATACTCTTTAATTTTAATTAATTTTTTATGTCTGTCTGTTATTGTACAACTTCATCCTTTTAAGTCATACTTGCTTATTGTCTAAGCATATTGTAGGTGTTTTGTGTATGTGTGTTGAATAAACCACAAAATGGATGAAAAGGAGAACAAAGTTCTTCTCCAGAGATCAAATTTCGTTAACACCATACTTATTTCAACTTGCCAAGGAGCCTGACAGTGGGAATTGTAATCAGACTAAGTTTGAGAATATGCACCCTATTGTTTTTTAATATGAACCATTCTTTGAAGTGTTTATTGAATTTGTTGCTGCTAAGCTGCTAAGTCACTTCAGTCGTGTCTGACTCTGTGCGACCCCATAGATGGCAGCCCACTAGGCTCCGCCATCCCTGGGATTCTCCAGGCAAGAACACTGGAGTGGGTTGCCATTTCCTTCTCCAATGCATGAAAGTGAAANCTGTCGCTCAGTCATGTCTGACTCTTTGCAACCCCATGGACTGCAGCCTACCCGGCTCCTCTGTCCATGGGATTTTCCAGGCAAGAGGACTGGAGTGGGTTGCCATTGCTGTTTGTTACAGTACTGCTTTTGTTTTAGTTTCAGTTTTTGACCTCAAGGCATGTGGGATCTTAACTCCCTGGCCAGGGATCAAACCCACCCTCCAGCATTGAAAGGTCCAGTCTTAACTACTGGACCACTTGGGAAGTCCTGAGTACATGCACTCTTGATCTGAGGCCCATGTCTCTATTTACCAGGTATCTGATCCAGTTGAGGATGGTTGAGCTCTTAATTCCTATTCTAGCTCTGCTGTTCATTGACTGTCTCTGGGGAAGTCACATCAACTCTCAGAAGTTATTTCCTCATGTGTGATTGTAGGGACTCCCTGCCTAAGTGCTTGGAATACCATGAAGCACTAGGTGAAACATAGATATTATTATACAGCTGACCACATTTGAAACGTGCTGCTTCTTGTTTCTTTTGTAGTGTCCAAAAGATTGCTTATTACTTTTTCCACTTGTTTACTTAACAAAAAGTCTTAATTATTCAGTGAAAGCAGTTATGTTAGTGGATGCTTCAAAAGGATTGGATGCCCAAATGCTAGTTTATGAATCAGGTTTCTGTGTTTAAATCCGAAAGGAGCTAATTAAGTTTATTCTTTGCCCATGCTGGATTTTAAGTTCTCTTAGGTTAAAAGGAAAAAAAAAAATTGGTAGTTACAAAAGTGCAAAGCTTTTCATGTCTGGAAGGAGGATCATATTTAAAAGATTTATATTGTTTGTGATTTGTGGCCAATTTTGCATTTTTTTAACCTGTATTTCAAATAGTCAAAACCACTAGCAAATGAAAGTATGACTCATTCATAGCTGTTGATGTTTAAATTTTTAAAGAACTATACAATTGCCATATCAAATTTGATTGTTTCACGAGCCCATAGTTATTTCTTTCTAAAAGAAAGCAACAATAGTTTGTCTCATCCAAAGGATGAAATATTTTTCTAAGCAAAAAGTAGCTTGTCATAAAAACGGGTCCATTTCTCCTCCGGAGATCTGCTAAAGTAATTACAGTTTTAAGTTGAAACTTTAATGTTAAAATAATTATTTTATATTTCCTATCTTAAACATTAAACAAAAGAAGTTAGTGATTTTGAAAAAAAAAAGAAGGGGGAAGGAATTCCTATTGGGATAAAGTACTCTGCATGGAACCTTTAAATTTTGATAAAATATAATTGGAAGTTCAAGAATGGCCTTCAAAGGGCTATCAGAGAGTGACCCAGCATTGAAGTATTTTAGGGACCCAGGCCCCTTAGTTTTCAGCAAACTATCAGTAAATACAGTATTTATGAGGAGAGTCAACACCATCAAGCACTTGGGTGTCGTGTGCTTTAAAACCCAGTCTTGGGCCACAGATGCCTCAGGGTGAAGTGTCGTCTGTTCGTAGCTAGTGTTATGTGGTGTTTTTCTCTTCAGATATCGTCGGAGTGTCACTGCAGAGAAAAAATCACACTCCTCTGAGTCCTCTATTTCTGATTAGAATGTTCTTTTGCTTGGGAGGAAACAGCCCTGTTTGGTTTAAAGATTCAGGCTCCTCTCCCCGCAGAGTTAGCTCTTTCCCCTTCTCTTTCCAGGGCCCCAGCATCCTGTTTTCACCAGGCCTGCTGTCTGCCCTGGATGAGTAATCGGCCTGGCACCTGGTGCATTCAGGCAGGCCTGTGCAGCGGAATCGTCACACCTAGTTATGTCTGCACACCTGATGTTTTATTAACCAGTATTGATTTTTCACCCGGGGGACTTTTTTTTTTCTTTCTGAAAAAAGGCAACCTTGCAGGAGTGAAAGGCATTGCAGGGGCTGAATTTCTAATGAACCCCTTCTTTCCCTTTTTGTGACTCTTTAATGTGGCTTCATATTTTTAAGCACCTGATCTGAAATTTCATTTTCAGCAATTCCATTTCAAGAAATCCTTTTAAATCTTGACTTTCTGTAAGGTTATTTTTTCAAGATGGTGCTGCTTGACTGAAACGCTCAGTAGTGCCTGTAAATCTGAGCATTTTGTTCTAGGTTGCGATGAGGCAGGCTCACATGCAATGAAATACAGAGACTTTGGAACTCTTTGAGGACTGCTTAGTTCTAGAAATAAAAGGCAAGAGAAATCTCATGTCTTATTTCAGGTAGTTCTAAACTTTCTTCTCGTTTCTTTAGGGTTAGTTCAAAGAATTAAGTAGCCGTGGGAGTTATGAACTAGTGTTTTGTGTCATACCATGAATTTGTAGCTCAGCAGTTATTTGTGTGACAGAAAAGGATTTTTTTCTTTTTTGCATTCGAAAATGAATATTGACAATATCATTTACTTTTAGTGAGGTGTTCTCATGATGATAGTGTAAGTACATCAGAGTTTTTGCATCTCTCAATGTGGCATGGATTTTCCTTTCTACAAAAGAAGACTTTGTTGTGTGTGTGCAAGTCTGTGTGTGTGTGTGTTGAACTTAAATGATAGCACAGATGTACACATTTGCCATAAATGAAGGGTAGTTTCTTAATCATTCTCTTCAAACGCTGAGTTCAACCATAGGTTGATCGTGCTTTCACAAATACCTTTTAATTTGCTGCCTCAGTCCATCAGGCATTGTGTACAGACTGCATGCACACCATTAGTTGTCAGCAGATGGGGGTCCTCATGAGTCATTCTGACAGCTAGCTTGCACGATCACAATAAAGTAGGCCCTGTTCTGCGATTTCCCTGAAGCTGGAAACAAGCCTTCTCAAAGGAATGTATATCTTCCATGGCATTGCAGATCACTTACACATTAAGTGTCTTGACTTTGCAGGTAGTTTAATTGCTAATTGTATGGATGGTTCATTAAGAAACTGACCCTTCTACCCCTCTGTTCTTCTTACAGTTCTTGGCACTGGGCACACATTATGGCAAGGTTTATTTACTTGATGTCCAGGGGAACATCACTCAGAAGTTTGATGTAGTAAGTATTCAGAATAATGTGTGAACTGAATTTCATGCTGAAATTTGTGCTTTGGAATATTTGTTTTAGCCATTTGTTCTAAGAGCATAAAGAAAGGGTCATTATCAGTTAAATCAGAGTGCTGAGAGTTCTACTCTGAACTTTATAGCCCTTGCTAAAAATTTTAAAGGTGAACTTACAAAGAGAGAGTTCTATTTATAGGCGTACACATACACACATTATTTATTTTCATTGGTATCATCTATAGAAAATCCTTTTAAAAATGTATTTCTTATGTATCTGTTTAATTGCAGATCTTTAGGTAATTGTAGCCATCTATTTGGCTTTAAATGGAGCATTTAAAATACCCCTATGTGTGTTCATTTTAAATTGTAACAATGTGGGGTGTCTAGGTGGATTGTTATTAAAAGAAAAAGTTTTACTTTTATTGGTGATTCATGGTGCTGAATACATGGTGGTGTTTACATAGCCAGGGGGTTGGGGGGGGGGCATTGTGGAATCCTTGAAGTGTGAAGCCCCTCATTTGATGACTAATGTCAGTTGTAAGAACATGCACCATCATCTTCTCCAGATGCCAAATGTAATTGAAAATTGATTGATCACCTTGCTGGTTAACTTTATCTCTTCTAAATATATAAAGCTAATATTTTATGTGAATGTTTTGAGGGTTGAACTCTTAGGGAATTATATTGGTTGAAAGAGAAGAGCCAGGCTTTTTATTTCTTTAACTGTGATTTGGAATCACCGAGGATGAAAGCAGTGTTAAATTTGAAGCTTCATTTTGGTGTTTAAGATGGGCCTTGAAAGTATCAAGTGTCCAAGGTTGTGAGAACGTGAACCTTTGGGATAAAAAAGGTGATCATTTTAGGGAGCAGATGTTCCTTTTGTGAAGAAAGACTCAGCATTTGTTGAAAGATTCATCATGAGGAATTGGTGTAGTTTGCAAAGGAGACTACAGTTTCTAAAGCTGACACATTGTATATGAAAGGTTTCAGGGTGCTTTGTTTTGCTTTAAGGAAAGGGAACCACAAATAATGAAGGAATCCTTGGAATTTTTGTAATAGTCCAGGGAGAGAAATATGCACTCTAATCACTGATCCCATCAGGTAAATGGTGGGTTCTTGTTTTGCGTCAGCATCCCTTTCAGACAAGAGGAATATACCTTTATTTTTTGTTTGGCCACACCACACAGCATTTGGGATCTTAGTTCCCCAAACAGGAATCGAACCTGTGCTCCCTGCATTGAAAGTGCAGGATCTTAACCACTGGACCACCAGAGAAGTCCAAGGGGGATATACTGTTGACCTTTTCTCTTCTCCTTACTTGACACTGGATACCCATTTTGATGATATAATAAGCATTTGGTCTTTCCATTGTTGTTGTTCAGTTGCCCAGAGATGTGGTGTAGGACCTAGCCTCTTTTGCAGCCGCATGGACTGCAGCATGCCAGGCCTCTCTTTCCCTCACCATCTCCTGAAGTTTGCCCACGTTCATGTCCATTGCATCAGTGATGCCATCCAGCCATCTCATCCTCTGACGCCCTCTGTTCTTTCTGCCCTCAATTCTTCCCCAGCATCAGGGACTTTTCCAGTGAGTCAGCTGTTCACTTCAGATGACCAAAATACTGGAGTTTCAGCTTCAGCATCAGTTCTTCCAGTGAGTATTTCAGGATTGATTTCCCTTCAGATTGATGTCCTTGCAGTCCAAGGGACTCTCAGGAGTCTTCTCCAGCACCACAGTTCAAAGGCATCAATTCTTTGGTGCTTTGCCTTCTTCATGGTCCAGCTTTTAAAATCGTATGTGACCACCGGGAAGACCATAGCCTTTACTACACAGACCTTTGTCAGCAGAGTAATGTCTCTGCTTTTCAACACACTGTCTAGGTTTGTCATAGCTTTCCTGCCAAGAATCAAATGTCTGCTGATTTCATGACTACAGTCACCATCTGCAGTGATTTTAAAGCCCAAGAAGAGGAAATCTGTCTCTACTTCCACTATTTCCCCTTCTATTTGCCATGCAGTAATGGGGCCAGATGCTATGACCTTAGGTTTTTTTTTACCTTTAGTCTTAAGCCGGCTCTTTCACTCTCCTCCTTCACCTTCATCAAGAGGCTCTTTGGTTTCTCTTCACTTTCTGCCATTAGAGTGGTACCATCTGCGTATCTGAGGTTGTTGATGTTTCTCCCATGTATTTTGATCCCAGCTAGTAACTCATCCAGCCTGGCATTTCTCATGATGTGCTCAGCATATAGGTTAAACAAACTGGGTGACAGCAGACAGCCCTGTGGTACTCCTTTCTCAATCCTAAACCAATCAGTTGTTCCATCCAGGGTTCTAACTGTTGCATCTTGACCCACATACAGGTTTCTCATCCATTAAAACATGAGCTGGTGCTGGGCAGAGCTCTCTTCACTTTGAAGAAAAAGCTTGCTTGGATGCCGTCTTAAATTTCCAGCTCCAGTTTAATGATTCTATTAACAGTCTGCTTCTAAGTAAGTCTTTTTAATATTGTATAGAAACTACTTGACTCCTAAGGTTCACAAGACAGACACTGCTGGTTTCATGGCCAAAAGAGAAACCAGGAGAGACACTGTAGGAGTTTATTCATGTCTTCCTTCCTTCCTTCCTTCATGTAGTCCTCCTGTCTACTCCCTGTAAGCCTTCAGCTTTATCTTCTCTGATGTTAGTTTTATGTCAGGTATATTTTACATCCTTTTCCAGGTAATTCCTGCTTCTCTGTATTCAGGCCTGCCCATATGACATCTTTGAAATTTAAGTTCTTTATAGCTTGCACTTATTTTTGGTAGGAGACAAAGATGGTTTGGTGCTCTTTTTGTTTGTTTACCTTACACCAGAATTTAATAGTCTGCTGTAGAGAAATTTTTCACGAGGCCCTGAGTCTACATGAACCATTACCGTATAAGGTATATGACTTTGAGGTGACAAATTTCAGAATGTCATATTTTGAAAGGAGGCTTAATCTTCACCTTCTCATCTCAGATGAGTTTTCTGCTTTGTTGTTTTATTTTCCCATTTCTGATGATGTGGTTGCTGGGGGTGGGGTGGGGGTCGGGGGCTCTGTATCAGTGCTCTTGGAAAAGCATTCAATTCTAAAAACACCATTATGGCTTTAATTTGCAGACTTTCTTTGAAATGATTGCCATATTCAATCAAGAACTGTTTTCTTCATTTGAAATGCAGCAAGATTGAAACAAGTATTAAAAAAATTAGTGAATTACTTCTAGGTGAAACTAATTTAAACAAATTAAAATTAGATAAAATAATACCTTATACTTGCATAACACTTTTTTTATTTTCTCAAGAACTGTCTCTTTAACCCATTCATTGTATTTATAGTTTTTGATTGAAGTGATGAAGCAATATTCACAATTCTCATTTATTGATAGGGTTTTGTTTGGCAGAGCATGGGGACATAAAAGAATATTTTTCAAAGGTTCCCCAAATAATTCTATTTGTATTGGAATAGAGTCATTGTACTAGGTGCTGTATAAGTTTACTTTAAATGCATACTATATAAAAGAAGAAATAACTAAACAAATCATTCTGCATGTTGAAAGTGATTTGCTTTCCCATTAATATTTCAGGAGAAATACTGATTAGCAGATTAACTCTACAAAAGCCAAGCAGATGGCTTACTGATGACATAGCAATTCCACTCCTAAGTACACATTCAAGAAAACTGAATGCAATGCCTGTGTCCCCCAAAATATATATGTGTAGAAGAATGTTAATAGGTTAATTTATAGTAACTCCAAACTAGAAACAACCCAAATGTCCGTCCATAGTAGAATGGATAAACCCATGATGGTATATTCTCAGTGATTAAAAAGAAGAAACTATTGCAGCATGCAGCAACATGAATGAATTTTACTGTCTTGCTGTTCAACCAAAGAAGCCAGACACAAATGTGTACATGTTGCATGATTCCCTTTATGCTGATCAAGAGAAGGCAAAAATCACACTATGGTGATAGAAGTCAGATTATGATTTGACCTGGGAGAGAGCACAGGTAGAATCTTCTGAAGTATTAATAATTGTCTCTATCTTGGTGGTTTCCTGGGTGTGTACATGTGTAAAAATCACTGAACCACATATCTGAGATTTGTGCACTTTATTCTGTGTGAGTTATACCTCGGTAACATGCACATGCACCTACAGAAATACCTCCACACGTGTATGTCTCTCTAACCTTGAAAGTGAAGTCACTCAGTCGTGTCTGACTCTTTGCGACCCCATGGACTCCTCCGTCCATGGAATTTTCCAGGCAAGAGTACTGGAGTGGGTTGCCATTTCCTTCTCCAGGGGATCTTCCCAACCCAGGGATGGAACCCGGGTCTCCCACATTGCAGGCAGACGCTCTACCCTCTGAGCCACCAGGGAGCAGTGCTCAAATTATCCTTTTCCTGTTGAAGCAACCTTTTCCTCTACTTGTTTCTAAATACCAGCACATTTTCTAAGTTGGTATCTTGTTCAGAGATCTTTATATAAATGGATCACACCACTGATATTTTTCGTACACTGTATATTCTTCTATCATTACATAAAAAGGTTGATAGAGAGGAGCCTGTGCTACCCACCCATCTATGACTCTTCTTTGTTGATCAAAAGTGAAAACCACCAGGGTGATGATTTATTTTGCATGTTGATGTTGAGATTTCAATACATCTGAAAGGATACTCATTAAAATGCTTTAGCCACGCATGTGTTTTTTAAAGATTTTATCCCTAGGTATAACTTTGTATTAATTCAGATTGAATTGATAAGGTTCAATTTTAATTAACTCACAGAATAAAAATTAAAATAGGCCTAGCTTCTCAGGTAAAGGGCTCAAGTTGCTTAGAAAATTGCCTGCTTGGCTGGATGCATGAGACAAGTGCTCGGGCTTGGTGCACTGGGAAGACCCAGAGGAATCAGGTGGAGAGGGAGGTGGGAGGGGGGATCGGGATGGGGAATACATGTAACTCCATGGCTGATTCATAT